AGTACAACAACATACACACAAATACAGGCTTTTATACACTGTATCTAAAAATGATATTTTTGTTGTGCAAACTAAAAGAAGATTATAAATGATAATCATTAATCAATTCAAAAACATGGCATGAATATGTTTAATGCTGCTAATTTATTTACCACACAGAGTAAATAAAAGAGACAAAGTTCTAGTTAGTGTGAAGTAAAACACAATAAAAAACTTAGAATCACCTTTTGGCCTAATGACAATTAGTTTTATAAACTCAATCTATAATTGAATTTGGGCGATTATAATCATATAATTATTTTACAATGAGAAAGATTGGAACACAGCCTAACCCCTTTCATGAGTACAGGAATTACATTTTTTAACCACATTTTTCACTGGCATGTGAAAGTACTTAAGAAAAATAGTTGTAACGTGGAAACCTATTATCCTTTAGTCTAAGTTTATCTTAACTTACAGTGAGCAGGTCAATGTCCATACTGTGTTTTCACAAGACAATTACAATAACTTCAGAGACAAATATTACTCAATGTACTATTTTTCTAGTTACTTGACTATATACAGTGGCATCTGACAGTTGTATTGGATGACAGGGTTTCAACTGTGCTGATGTAAATAAAGATTAGATGCCTAAATTCAAGTCTAGACATGTTGCCAAATAGAGTAAAAGTTCTTCATAGAAAAAGTGTTGACCCTCGGTCCATCCTCCATCTCACAAACAGTTTTCACATGATTGGGTGACATGCAATAACAGCAGCTGTAAAAGCCCCACGTACTCCTCAAATATTGATCTAAGCGTCTTTACATTAAACACAGAGAGGGGCAATGCTCCCCTCTATGGTTCTCTGTCAATATTTAGGGAACATGTGATACTGAATTCAAGGTTTAGCTTGATTGCAGCATTAAAAAAAGGCAAATTTCAATATGTTCAAAAAGTTAAATTTATTTTTAGAGTATACTAAGTGGCCAGAAACACGTCTCCAAACAAATGTTGCTCCCTATCTTTATGCATTTGTTAATAGGTAGCCAACAAGTTTCCCATATTTTCTCAAAAAGTTGATAATAAGTCAATGTAACGTTGCTCCCCCAAAGTGGCCTTATAATCCTTTTTTCCCGGGACAAGCAGAAGATACTTTTTTTTCCCAGCCTAATTACATATAAAGTAAACGGATAGAATCATAACCATGTCAAAAAACATAATGTGTGAGATCATCTTTCCTGATAGCAGCCAGGCCTAAAACTATTCCACACCATGCCCGGCTGTGTACTAAGAACACGTGATAAAAGACTACTGCCCTTTGGCACTTATTCACATTTTATGAAGTGCTTTCAAAAACAACATCTCAGCCAGAATGGACCCTCACCAGTTTGCATATACTGTAACTCCAACATATCCAAACAACATGCCGTCTCCTACTGCTTTCCACTCACACATCTAGAAACTAACAACACCTACAAAGGAAGTTGGTTTCAACTCAAGATTCAACCCCATCTCCCCTATTACACTGAATGGCAAATTTAGATTAGATTAGATAGAACTTTATTAATCCCGAAGGAAATTATTTTTGCCAGGTTGCTCCAAAATTACAATACAGATACATCTTTATAAAAGTTTGCAATATACAATAGCTCAATATACAAAGTTTTAGAGTAACGTATTACAGTGCCCCAGTAGAGAATAGGTAGCAGCCTGTGACAGTGACAAGTCATTTGGTGACAAGTCATATTGCACATTCAAGTAAAATACTAAATATCAAATATAAAACGTTACTATAAATAAATATAAAAGCTAGAGAAAGTAAATACATATATAGATAAAAATAGAAAAAAGACAAAAACTACGAGGAGCAACTCTAGCACGTAGCCCAAGACGGCGCCGGAAGTAGCACCATGGGCTTGAGTACCACACTGTGCATCTTCATATTGGACTTCCTCATTAATAGACCTCAGGCAGTCGAGATTCATGGTCACTGTGGTCACTCTGCTAAGCCCCGGAGCTCCCCCAGGCTGTGTGCTCAGTCCCCCACTGTTCATGTTGTGCACCGATTACATGAAGAGAACTCCATTGTGGAGTTTACATAGGACAGATCATCATTGGCCAGATTTCAAACCACGCTAGGACTACATATAAAGGGGAAATGGACAATCTTTAAGGGGAGTGCTCAGAGAACAACGTATTGTTGTATGTTAGATAAAAGGAGCTGGAGACACAAAACCCTGTCTACATCTTTGCAGCTGAGGTAGAGAAAAATGAACAGATTTATGTTCCTGAAACAGCATGACAAACATCCTGACATGGTCATCACATATCTCCATCCTGGTGAATAAAACAAAAAAAAAGCTTTATTTCTTAAGGAAACTTAAGAAGTCAAAATACCCGAGCTAATTGTTTGATGACTTTTACAGATGAGCAATATATTAGTTCCCTGACTGGAAACAGTAAAAAACTTGGATATGAATTGGATATGCAGAACAGGACTGCATTGGTACCTATGTGTGTTCGGGATAAGAGGTGACTGTGAAGAGTCTAAATAAAATTAAAGAACAATCCCCATCCCAGCCAAAGACCATACACCCTGCCACTATCTGATAAAGGATACAGAAGTGTCCACTGTCGTACTATCACACTACATTTTCTTAGACAGTTAGATTCCTGACCTTTTTTTTAAAGTAGCAAAATGGGACAATAATTGTGCTTTCTTGCACAACCCTGTGTTGCAAAATGACAATAAATAATAATTTGATCATTGAGAGAATACCAATACATAATAAATGAATCTATTCTTTTGTGTTCTGATCATTTATATTATTTATTTAATCGTTTATTTGGTCGGGACAATGCACATTATTAATGAACACTTAACACAATAAATGTACCAAGCGTAAATATGCCGGATTTAGCTTTGAGCTACTTTCCATCCGTCCCTCACATAAAACATTTAAGAAAATGACATTTACACACGTAGCAAAAACAAATACAAGGAATGCAAAAAGTGCAAAAGAGCAAGAGCTCTACTTATGACATGGCAATACAATATAGCAGCAACAATACATAAAGTGCAAGAGGAGATACAAGAGCTACCTACTATAAAGTACAAGAGGAGATACCCCTGTATTAAAGTGCATTTAGCGGTGATTGCACGTCTGTTTGTTTCTCAACCATTGTTTGCAGCCTTTCCTCTTACAAAAAACGACCATATAGGCCGATTGTTCAAGCCCTTATTACGACCCAGAGACAGTTTCTCAACCATTGTTTGTCTAGTGGTCGTGTAAGAAACAACATGCTCCCGGCCCGTTCTTTGCAAACGCTCCGGAGGACGTTTATTCACAA